TACGATAAGGTTATGCTCAAACTTTGAAGGAAACAAAATTTGGACCTAAACCAGACAGAATAATTAATAGCCTTGATAAGTGTTGTTCATCAACCATCCAAGAATGCAAATAGAGCCTACCTATCTCAGGTTTTCTAGCTTGTAATGACATTATGCTTCAATTTCAAGGATATAAAATCGTAAATTAAATTTCATCAGTCCACATGAACTGGTAACTTCTACCGTACATAAAGTATGCTTAATACTAAAATGAAGATGGCAAATATTAATCACCTTCTTCTTGGAGCAAAGGAATCCTCAGTTGTATGTGATTCAGTATTGCTATCTGTCACTTGTTTACATCCCACATCAACTGGTAACTGATGCACATCTTTCTTACTTACACCATCATCAAGTTGCTGTTCCTTAGGTTCTATGCGACACCGAATCAAGGGTTCAATAACATCCAATGTAGGACAAGCATCTAAAGGTAGTAGAAAAACTCCATCTCCATTTTCTTTGAGATTTAAGGAAAAGAAGAGCCTCTTCAAATGCTTTATCAAAGATTTTTCTGATATGCCCTTTATGTCAACTGCTTGCCCTTCATCAATCATTTGCAAAAGCTATGGAAAAAAAAAACCAAAAAAAAGTGAATCAGAATAAAAAGGAATCCTACTTTCTTCCCGAATTATAAAAGGGGCCAAAATGGAAACAATTAGAAAACGATAAATGTGTATGTGTGTGTGTGTAACAAAGAAAAATCAACACAATAATTTCTAAAAATGGCTGCCATAATTATTATCTAGTTACACAGAGTGTGTGGCTCCTCTAGAATAATACACACATTTCATAAAATTTGGGGGCCAAGAATATATAAGTAGTCCTTATGCAAGTTTTCAGTTGATTCTTCTTAAGTAGTTTTAAGATGGGTCTGATATGATATTTGCAGAAGATAAAAATTTAATCTGTTTTGTTTGATATGGTGGTAAGGAAGAGTTTGCTGTTAGAATTGCTCATGCTTGTACTTTATGCTGCTCTGTTTTCTAGTTTTTTTTCTTGGGTATCTCGTCCTTCTCTTGTACTTTTTCGTCCCTAACAAACACTATTTCTGTTTCTATATTAAGAAAAAGAATTTAATAAACTCTACATATATTGTTCACAATAAATACGGTGCAAAAGACACCTAGATACAGCATTGTCGAATAGAAACAGAAAAAGAAATATTTTCTCATAGATATAGTTATATCACCAAGTAAATTTCAATGAACAAAAAAAAAATGCAAATGCAATCCAATTCTCTTAACGTAGAAATGCATAAAGAAAAGCAGATTGATATGAGAAGTAATCAAGTTAAAATAACAATTGCTTGTTCTATACTATGGGAGTCATTCTCATTTAACAACTACTGACTGAAAATATCTCCAAAACAAAAAGAGATAACAAATAATACAAAAGAAGGGAAAGAGATAGAGAGGAGTCTCAATGGAGAGTTAGCAGTACCTGTTTTAAATCATTCCCAACTGTAGGGAACTCTCTGAACATTTCTTTCACAACTGCTTGAGGCTCGACCTCTGATCTCTCTGACTCAGAATCCGACTCAGACCCGGACTTGGAGGCAGATGAGGACTCAGATTCATAACCCCTCCTCCTCTTCTTCTTATCCTTCTTCTTATACTCTGCTCTTGATTTCCTTTTCTTTCTCTCCCTTTCTTTGTCCCTTCTCTCTCTCTTCTTTCTCCTCGTCTCTTCCCTTTCTCTTTTCCTCCCTCGCTGTTTCCTAGAACTACCATCACTTTTTTCCCGGTCTTTCCGGTGTCGGTGCCACCGCTTTGAGTACAATTCTGAGTCATCAGAAGATTCAGAACTCAAAGGGGATGAAGAAGAAGAGGTCTGCTGCACGTGAGTCTTCTTGCTTTTATTGCCCATCCCTTTACCTTGTAACAAGTCAATCCGAGGAAATCAAGAGAATGGATGATATACTTGCTATTGCAACTTTGCACTGTTTTATTAGAAACAAGAAAAAGTTACATCTAACAAGCCAAAATGAAGTGGGCCAACTTGAAAGACCCTCAAGCTTCATCAAAACCCAACAAGTGGCAGTTTGACACCATATTTATGGGATTAAAAACCCAATAACCACAGCATTAGCGAAGACATAATGCTGCAATAAAATGCACTTGTTGCAAAACCGGCAAAGACATAATAAAGGTGCACTTGTTGCAATAAAATCCTTAACTGCCTATTTCTCCCCTGATTGGAACATCTTGCAGGATGAATGCAACCTCGCCAAGATGTTCATCAAAATTGTCCAAGATTCAACATTCAAAAGCAATATCAATTACGCATATTTCAATCATTTGCTCACTCTTCTCAAAGAAAAAATTTGTGCGCTATAGTATAGATGTTTATAAAACATGTTAGGTCAAAAGCAACCCATACGATTTCACAACTCCCAATTCTTGGACTTAATTTGTTCTTTTCTCTTGCGTTTTCTCTCTTGAGCGAGACGCAGCAGAGAAAAAGTCCTAATTCATTTGCAACAAGAAAAACTAAAATCCCCGCTTCACTTTCAATCACGCACGCTCGAAGTAATATGCCGGCCCGAATTAACTTTTATCGAACCTAAATTTTCTCTGACACCGCATTTTCAAAAAGCAACGAGGCTAAATCAATTTGATTAGTGAAATTAAAGACTTGGTGAAAGAAATTACCTGAACCTGTTTATTCCACTGATGGTGGCCGGCTGCTCTTTTTGGAAGTAACAGTGGGGGGACTGGTTGGCCCGGGAGCTAGAATTTTGAGATATGGGGACCCAAAATAGGTCCTCCCCTCGGTGAACGACTGACAAGATCTAGGTGACAGTAACCATCGGGAAGTACGGTGGCTGACGCTCAGGTACGACAGTCGAAAAGACCTGGGAGAAACTTCGGCGACGATGGATATATAGAGAAACTTCGACAGTGTCGATCCGACGGGGGCGGTCTGCACGGAGGTGGTAGAGCACGTTTTGTTTTGGATAAATTACAGTTATGCCTTTATTTTTACATATATTGCAGTTTCCCCTATCTATGTTTAAAAAATTACATTTACTTCCTCGTCCATATAGTTATTCTTCTGTCGGTGCTTTTTTTTTTTTTGGTATTACTTACATACAGAACGATTCTTATATTTATTTTTAAAATTTAATTGTAAAGTATATAATAACTGAATATTTGTAAAATAATTAAAATATGAAATAAAATAATTTTTTAAAATTTTAGAAATAAAATTCTAATTTTTTTATTTTATTATTTTTACTATTATTTGCATTAATTATTTTATATAATTTTTTTTTAATAAAATACATACAAAAATATCTGTTATTGTTAATATCTCAAGTAAGTGTTCAATCTGAGAAAAGATTCACGAATTCATTAGGATTTTGATAAGAGATTTTACTTTTAGTTTTGTATACTTTTTTCAATTTAAAACATTTACTATTAAAGATATTTTTTTTGCCAAATAAATTTGTTAAGATTTAATTTATTTTGATCACATAATCCTAATAACACAACTAATTAATTTAATTTTTAATTTATTGAATAACATATAATAGGACAATTATTATAAATTCATAATACACATATTTTATGTTTTTAATAAAATTTAAGTTCATAATTTTTAAAAATATATAAAAAATTTAACCACTAAAGCATTAAATAAATTCAACCATTAACCATATTTATTATCCATTGCTAGGCATATAACAAATGCACGAATGGTCATATATATATATATATATATATATATATGTATATATGGACACACATGCATAAATCTAGAACAGAAACTTATCGTGTTGAGAAACGTATTGGATGCTTTGATAGAGTGATATGTAGTGGCTTTACATATACACATGAACGTGTGTGGTGGTGAGGGGGACCCTACCCCTCATTAATAAGATATTGTCCATACACCCAGAGAAACCAAAAGATAAAAAAATGAAACAGCTGTGCCCACCATGGAAATGGCAAAAGCAATAATAAAGCTAAAGCTTCCAAACAAATAAAGTTTTTGGGTCTTTTTGCTCTTCCATTAATTTTCCACTTGCACTCTCCAACTCCATGCCTGTGATTCTTCCCCTCCTCTATCTTTTTGCATGTGATATATACGTGTGTGTATATATATATATATATATATATATATATATGGTATCACTACCATATCCTTATTTCAGGCCTCTTTGGAGCGTATATCATAAGGTCTCCATAATTGTCAGTAAAAACCTTATCATTCTACAGCCACCTACAGGAAGATGAAGCTCACACTGGTTTTCCTCCTCTTCATTCTCCTATCTCAGGTAAGTAACAGAACCCCAAAAGAAAAAGTTTCCAACGAAAGATTTTGAAGCCATATATATGCATGTATGTATGTATATATGTATGTGGGCATGCCTCTTTTTGATAATAACCATTATATATGACAGGTTCTTGCAGATGCATCATTCTTTGACATTAATAGTGTAAGTCCCTCCTCCCTTCCAGTTTATACTAATAATTAATAAGGGTATATTTTTATCAATATAGCTTTTCTTGACAAATATAAATATATATAGAGGGAGAGAGAGAGATACTTGGATATCTATATATATTGTTGGAATTAAAAAAAAGAAAAAAATAAGAATAAACTTAAGAAATAAAAGAATAAAATTAAATATTTATATAAATTTTTCAGTCAACTAATCAATTTTTAAATAAATAAATTATAGCGAAAATATAGACATAAATTTTATCTTAAATAATAATTATAATCTGTCTGAATGATATTAATTATTTATTATTTTTTTAAATAATAGATAAAAGATCTCATTTAAAATAAAATTGAACGTGTAGCTCATTCTTCAATCAGAACTTTTCAATGTTGCAAAGAGCCAGTAACTCTCTTAATTTTGTTTTAGAGACCCACATTGCACCAGCTGTCTTGTGCTCTCCTGGAAGATTTACTGACACTCATCTATTATTTATTTCAATTGCTTCAATCTTATCATGTATATATGTGAAATAATTCTGACTTAGTATAACTTCAATTCTCTTGATTCAGATAGATGAACACCGTGTGATAGTTCATCACAAAGGAAAATATCATTTTGGAAAAATCAGTAAGTTTATTTTCTCCTAATTAAAATGGTGCATGAGATTGTTGTTATATAATAATATATAATATACGTGTAAATAAATTTAGAAAGTAATTAAGTTTTGTTTAAATATGTAAAAAAAAAAAAAAAAAAAGATTGCAGTCATGAATGCGTGAGGAGATGCAAGGAGGCATCGAGAAAGAAGGTGTGCCACAGAGCATGCAAGAGTTGCTGCAGCAGATGCCATTGCGTCCCACCAGGCACCTACGGCAACAAGAAGGCCTGCCCTTGCTATGCCTCCCTCCGAACCCACGGACACAAGCCCAAGTGTCCTTAAGTTTTAATTAATTCAAATTAATTAACCTCATATTCTATGATTGTATTTCTAATAAAGTTCTACCACATATCGTTAAATAATTCTGAGACCAATATTCCTTATATCTCAAATTACCACATATTGTTAAATAATTCTTAATATCAAATTGATATCATTCATCAACTTTTCAAACTTACATTATATATGCATATATACTTAATGAATTATGAGTTCAATATATCTCGTTCACAATCAATAATAAAATAAACTAGAGGTTTCATTAGAAAAATTAAAATAGAGAATTTTGCCATACAATCAATCATTCAAGTAGTAGATATAATAATCCACTTTCCAGACTTACTTTCAATTATTGTGATTATAATTATAAAGGAGAAAATAAAATAGGATAATATAAAATCTAAGGGCACTTGAGACGGCCCCCATGCGTAGTCATATTGGCGTAGCAAGGACAAACATCTCTGTTGCCAGAAGTGCCGGGAGGGACGCAGTTGCACCTCTCGCAGCACGTATTGCATGCCCGTAAGCACACATTCTGTCTCGACGCCTCGCTGCACCTGTACTCGCACTTTGACTTACAGTCTATCTTTTCACCTTTAGCCGGCGGCGGAGTTTCATCCGCCCCTCCAACCATTACACCTCCTATGTATACACAATATTAACATAACAAAACAAACCCAGTTAACACTGAATTTCTAATATATCATATATATATAATTCACTCTATATATATTACCTGTTTTTCCTGCATCCACTCCATGCATCTCCAACTGATCATGTAATAAGAGAATCGAAAGGACAAGTAACACAAGCGTGGTCTTGGTGATGGACATATTGACTCCACTGACCCAGCTTTGTGTTATATTTTTTAAGGTTTGTTTGGGTGGATTCATGATTAACACACGCAAAGAAGACGACCCAGTTCTCTTATGTGTAAATATATATACACTCACATCACTTATATATACACACACTCACACAAAGGGAGACAGAGAGCTTAATTAGCCAGGTGTTATCCGTTTTGGCTAAAGAAACTGAATAGTTGGGTGGGTCATAAATTAGTTTTATTATTGCCGTAACGTTTTTGAATTTATACATACTTTGAACGTGAACTTCTTACATGATGATTTTCCCACTACTAATTCTTTCCACAGTCTTATACAACTTTAATACTACTCATTTATTATCCCTCCGTTTTTGCCCAAATTTTATTTTTATCCGTTGCTTTTTTTTTTTTTTCCTAAATTCCAACTTTTTCATAAATTTGTTGTACAGTTTTTCAAATAAAGCAATACGGGTTACTCTTTGCTATCTCCATTACTTATAACTGACGACCTTAATGATAAAATTCATAAAAGATAAAACCTGTTCATCTCTGTTCGTGATTTACATGGGATGAATTCATGTCCTTTTAACTTTTTTAACTTTCTCTTCATTTGGGTAGTTTATGAATCACTTGAATGAGCCGAAACTAAAGCCTCAAGCTGTTGAAATGTTGTATCTTGAAAAACCCCATATATGCATAATATCCTTACCACCTTCCAATTCAGACTTCATTTCAGTTCCACACACCATGTGATAACCCAATACATATTCACATATATATGTATATACTCAGCATTCTAACCGAGTTGTCATTTGTAAAACTACAAATATACAAAAAGGCTAATTAGATTCAGAAGGTAATCAACATAATGAGGCTCCTTTTGCCTGGTAAAAAGGAATTGAAAGACTAAAACCGAACCCAACAACGAGTACATTTCGCCATACAATCTCCTTTGCAATCCACATTATAGCCTAAAACTTTTGGGTTTCGGAGAAGAAGATTTCTTAGGGACTTACCTTCTATCCCCCAGTCTTTTTCTAGGATCTGCACATTCATTTTCATCTCATGCTCAAGACTACACCCCAGAACTTCTGGAAACTTTTTGAGTAACTTGTATAGATCATCATCCGAGAGGCTTAGACTCCTCAAATAGTCCAATATTTCATTTATTATTTCAACCTTTGGAACTTCTTTTTTACGTTCTTCGCTCCAATATGGTGAATGGACGTAACCAAATGCTTTTCTAAGTATCTTATCTCTCTCCTCCGTGCTAAAACTAAGTGAAGCCAATGCTTCCTTACATGCTTCCCATGTCTCTCCATCTTCATCACTTAATGTTTTACTTTCCACTTGCACTGTTGAATGGCACAGCACATTTGGTGAGGAGAATTTCTTCATCGATATATGAGATATCCAAGCTCCTCGGACTACAGTTGGTGGAAAACCACTGCACAAGTTGAGGTCAAACGACATGGCACTCGTTGTGGCATTTGCAAGATCAGGCTGCCATTCAAATATGCAAAATTAATTTCAAATCCATCAAGTGAAAAGACAGTATGCAATAAAAATGAGATAGCAAGCATGAACCTCATCCTGTATTGCAATTATGTTTACAAGATATCCTTTAATAACCTCCATCAGACAGATAGCAGATAAGCAAGCAGAACACAGAGAGAACACCTCCTCTCAAGTGCATGCAGGTGGGCGGGCAAGCATAGGCAAACTAGTCATAAGGCAAAAGGACAAAACTGCACTCACACTATCTTAGATAAGGGTTGCTGAACAAGTATATAAACTACTTTGGAATTTCATGCATACTCGATCCAAGATGACATCCCTTAATAGGTAGCTGTCATGGTCCTAAAAATATAAGCAACTAAATGGCAAGATCTAAGGAGTACAAAACCAAAAAGCTACTAAGTATCCAAAAATTTCCATTCCTGCAAATTCCTACATTACATCTATCATGTCATTTTTGTGAGATGATTTATCATATCAGTTGCCAAAAGGTAGGTGGACTCGGAACATAGTGCCAATTCCCTTGAACTTAGTTGGGTTTTCCTGCATCATCATCTTGTTCTCAAACTAACTCCCAACTCCATTTGTTTCTCCAGAAAGAGAATTCTATATTCATGAATTTCAGCTGAAGCCTTAACCTATCAAATCTATTACAACAACCCATACTGCAGCCATATTGCAAAATGAAAGTAAAGACAAAACATTATTTCACTTCAAAGATATATTCAGGTTTTTGAAACTAAGAATTCTCTTTTTCCAGGTATTTTCTGTATATATTTTCATGTAAATGAGTTTCAACCAAGTTTAAGGCATTTTTAAGTCAGATATTTTTAAAAAAATAAATTTTAAGTTTGCATATAGTGTTAATTCTTGGAAACTATGGTTTCAATTATACTTCCAAGTATAAATGGATTTGTTCCATATATGAATCTGATATCCCTACAGGAATGAAGCATGAATGACTTACAGTAGGATAGCAAAAACGTGTTGCAGAATCCAATGTAAACAGAGGAGAAGCTAGTGATTTTCCCAGCATCACGACACTGACAGGAAAAAGATAATCAATAGAGTAAACATAATCCAGAGAAAGAGATGCAAATAAACAACCAATAAGAATTTTTGCATGCTATCTAAAGTCACCATTTATTACTTTTCACAGTAACATATGTGTTTGTTTGTTTGTGCACATGTTTGAGAGTGTTACTCAGGAAATACAATGATAATCAACATGGATAGAAGGATGTGCATGAATTATCCCCATGAAGAGAGAATTCAGTAACGATCCAAAAACAAAAGGAACCACAACCATAAACCTAAAGCTTTATACAATTCTGAAAATATATTTTTAATTAGAAATATTTAAAACCTTGAAAGAACAGATAAATCAAGAAGTTGAACTTCTCAGGTTGCCAATTTAGCTCTTTTCCCCCCCTTGTTTCTCTTTCCTTTGTATGCTCTCATAGCATCCACTATCCCCCACTAATAGTGCTATAGGTAAAACATGATGTAGCACCCGGAAAGGAGGGAAACAAAAAAAAAAAAAAAAAAAAAAAAAAAAAAAGGGGGGGCCACGTCAGCAGCCACGTCAGCAGGCCCGGTCAGCAGTCCCGGCCAACCGGGGCCTGCCACGTGGCAAGACCGCGTCACTCCGAAAGGAGCCACGTTGGCGATCCGCGTGGGTGCAATCCAACGGCCCAGATCAATCGCGCGATCGGACGGTCCAGATTCAATCAAAAACGAACGGCCCAGATTAAAACGAAATGAACGGCTGTGATCAATAGGCAATGGGTTATAAATAGAACCCCCACACCAGACCACAAACCCTAGCCGCCCGCGCTCGCAGAGAGACGATCAGAGCCGACCGCCGCCACCCGCCGCCGCACCGGGGAAATTTCCGACCGCCGATCGAGGTAAATTTCATACCCCCGACTCGTTTTTCTCCGCTGATTCCTCCTATGGCCAAATTGAGGCCGAAATCCCGGCCAAACGGCCGGAATACGCGGCCGAAACCCAGCGGCGCCGCCGCGCCCCTCTCGGTTTTTGCCTCCGACGAGGTCCTTCCCGGCCTCCGTTCGATGCAATTTTTATATCACCGTGATCACCATTCTTTTCTCTACAGGTTGACCGAAGCCGAATCACCAAAACACGAACCTCGCCGGAGAGCCGCCGTACCCGAGAGCGCCGCCGCCGGTAAGCTCCGCTTTTCCGTGATTTTTGGCCCCCCGAGGGCCCTAGGGTTGTTTTTTGACAAGGACCAATGCGAGTGTGGCCGAATTCGGCCGAAAACAGCCAACCCGAGGCGACTCGCCGCCGCCAGCGGCGGCGCCGTCGCCGGAGCACGGCGGAGCCGCCGTGCCGGAGTTGCGATTTGGTCCGAAAGGGGCCCTGGGCCTAATTTGAATTTTTTTTTGGAACACGTGCAGGTACTGTTAGTGTGTTTCAGTTCCCCGGGAAAAATTCAGGAAAAATTAGGGACGGCCTGCAGGCGCACTGTGAATCGTATTCGGATCCCGAAAACAAGTAAGGACCCCTCACCCTATTTCCTATCACGGTATTAAAGTTCAAAATGATAAAACGGTATTTCTTGAATTAACGAATGTGTGAAATTGCTTAAGGTGGCTAATGGAGCCCGAGTCTAGTGTGATTGGTGATTTACTGTTATTTAGCCTGTTTACAGCTTTAAATGCA